AAATATGCAGGTTTGTCACATGGGTATACTGTGTGATGCCGAGGTTTGGGGTATGACTGATCCTCTCACCTAGGTAGTGAGCACAGTACCCAATAGTTTTCAACCACTGCCCTCCTCCCTCCCTCCCCTTTTGCAGTTCCCAGTGTCTATTGCTGCCAGCTTTATGTCCATGAATACTCAATGTTTAGCTCCCAATTACAAGAATATTTGGTTTTCTGTTAATCTCCTTAGAACAATGGTCTCTAGCTACACTCATATTGCTGCAAAGGATATGATTTTGTTCTTTTTTATGTTTTGCCAATTTTTTGTTGTTGTTGTTTGAAGACAGAGTCTCACTCTGTTGCCCAGGCTGGAGTGCAATGGCACCATCTTGGCTGCAAACTCTGCCTCCCAGGTTCAAGTGATTCTCCTGCCTCAGCCTCCCGAGTAGCAGGGACTACAGGCATGTGACACCACACCCAGATAATTTTTTGTATTTTTAGTAGAGACAGGGTTTCACCGTGTTAGCCAGGATGGTCTTGATCTCCTGACCTCGTGATCCGCCCGCCTTCGCCTCCCAAAGTGCTGTGATTATAGGCGTGAGCCACCACACCTGGCCTATAAAAACATTTTTTACTTATTCTCCGAGAAGACACCAAATGGCGAATGACTTCAATGGGGGACAGTGGGGGCAGATCAAAGGCCCCAGGGGCCCCCAGTGGCTTCCACCGAGGTTTCTGCAGAGGTTTCAGCAGTGGCATCCAGAGCCCAGGTCATGGCAGCGGATGAGGCCAGGGCTGGGGCCTAGGCTGTGGAGCTCGCCAAAGAAAGGCCGAGGATAAGGAGTGGATGTCTGTCACCAAGCTGGGCCACCTGGTCAAGGACATGAAAATCAAGTCCCTGGAGGAGATCTACCTCTTCTCCCTGCCCATCAAGGAATCTGAGATCACTGACTTTTCCTGGGGGCCTCTCTAAGGACGAGGTTTTGAAGATATGCGGGTGCAGAACCAGACAGCCAGTGCACCAGGTTCAAGGTATTTGTTGTCACTGAGGACTACAATGGCCATTTTTAGGTGTTAAGTGCTACAAGGAGGTGGGCACTGCCATCCACAGCATCATCAACCTAGCCAAGCTCTCCATTGTCTCCGTGCAGAGGCTACTAGGGGAACAAGATCAGCAAGCCGCACACTGTCCCTTGCAAGGTGACAGGCCGCTGGAGCTCTGTGCTTTTGCACCTCTTCCCCTTGCCCAGTGGCACTGGCATCATCTTGGCACCTATTCCCAAGAAGCTGCTCATGATGGCCGGTATCAATGACTGCTATACCTCAGCCAGGGGCTGCACTGCCACCCTGGGTAACTTCGCCAAGGCCATCTTTGATGCCATCTCTAAGACCTACAGCTTCCTGACCCCTGACCTCTGGAAGGAGACTATATTCACCAAGTCTCCCTATCAGGAATTCAGTGACCACCTTGTGAAGACCCCCACCAAAGTCTCCATGCAGATGACTCAAGCTCCAGCTGTAGCTACAACATAGGGTTTTTATATAAGAAAAATAAAGTGAATTAACCCCGAAAAAAAAATTTAACATACACAGAGACAAACTCAGATCTCAATGAGGAATTATATTCCACAGAACTAGAATTTTTCCCTTTCAGATTTTCAAAAGTCTACATATAGCCATATCATTTTATGACACCACAAAAATAATACTGGCAGCTTGGTTGCTGGTTATTTTATATTTTCTCATTTATCATTTGTAGCTAAGCACAAAAATGATTTCTATTTCTTACCTGTAGAAAAGATAAAATATTTTCAATGCATGGCTTTACTGTTACTACTTAAAACCTAAGTTAGGGCCGGCCACAGTGGCTCACAGCTGTAATCCCTGCACATTGGGCAGCCGAGGCAAGCAGATCACCTGAGGTCAGGAGTTCAAGGCCAGCTTGCCCAACATGGTGAAACCCCGTCTCTACTAAAAATACAAAAAATTAGCCAAGCGTGGTGGCATGCACCTGTAGTCCCTGCTACTCCAGAGGCTGAGGCACGAGAATCGCGTGAATCCGGGATGCAGAAGTTGCAGTGAGCTGAAACTGCACTCCAACATTAACAACAGAGTGATACTCCATCTCAAAAAGCAAAATAAAACAAAAACGTAAGTTAAATATAAATTAATCACAGTAATTTATCTTGAAAGCCTCACTCTTGAAAGTGTGACTTTCAAGAAGTCACACTTCTTGAAATCTTCATAAATGAAGATGGGTTGTTTCTGATAAGTAAGAATTTCCTGTACTTAACTAGTATATGCTAATTAAAGTTCTCCATGTGTTTTCTAAGAATGCAGTGTCATCATAAAAGGGTCAATTGCTTTAAAAAAAAAAAAAGCTAGATTTAAATAGGAAAGGAAACATAGACAATAATAATGTGAACAGTATTGTTTTTTGCTCTAATTTTCATAGAAGAAAATGGAAATAGTTTTTGGTCTCCTAGACATTTTAAACAATTGCTAAAAAGTTGTCTTCCAGGTTTTTATTTTAACAAGCCTACATTATGGATTCTACAAATAACTCATTTAAGAAAACCAAATGTCATTAACTGTTACAATCTATTCAGAATGGGAGACTGAGAGTGGAAAATAGCCACTGAAATTTTTCTTCCATAGTACTCCGAAATTGTTTTGTCCAATCCAAAACAGGCTATCTCGTTTTTTTTCATAAAGCAGTTATTAGAAGTATGTTCATGTTTCCTGAAAAGACCAGTAATAAAATGAGAACTATTAACTATAGACACACTGTAATGGGACTTAAGTTAAATGTGTGTTATTAAAATACTTCTCAGAATTGTCATTGTTTCTGAGAATCAGTCTTCATATTAAACATTTAACGACTTTAGAAAGGAAGTTACTATATATTCAGGATTTAAGAGGGAAAAGGTTTTGGTTGAGTTTTCTTAATGTCTTTAATAGGAATTAAATATTTCTTGACAATAGGGATCCTCAAGAAAAGAAAAGATACTTCTAAAATCTAGCCATTAAATCTAGTTTCATACTTTCTAGTTTTCTTCAATTATACTTGATCTACAGAAAATTGAAAATGCAGCCACCACCTGGAAAAAACATACATAATTCATTGGACATTTTCCTTTCTTGAAAAAACTCAACAGTTACCTTATGCAAATTATTAAGAAGGTAAGTTGGCAAAAGGGTGCAAATGTCACAAAACGATCATACCCTTTTGGCCTTGTATTGCTATTTTAGTGAAGACATTCAAGAGGGAGAAATATGACAACTGGTATTTGGTTACTTGCCAGTGAACTATTACATAATGAATTTTAAGTAACAGGAACATTCCTAATTTCCAGCTATACAGAAAGAATGGTTAGACCCATCGTGACGTTAAAACTAAAATAAATATTTACTTAGGAAAAAAATGAGGATTACATTAAAATAAATAAAGTACTTAAAAGAAATCAGTGGGGAAAACCAAAATTTTATGAAATTGCTGCAGTTCTGTCAGAATAAACTAGTAGGATCAAAAGAATTTGATGTTTATAAACACTTGATGTAAAACTTTTTCATTTTATTTTACTTTTGCATTCCTTTTTATTATTGTTACCATGCTTTCTATTCAATTGTATGTTTTCTACTAAAACTCTTAATATTTAAAAAATGTTAAAATCTCACAATCAACTCAACAGAGCAGCTCTCTGACCATAATTCAATGAATCTCTAGATTTGGAAGACAATGTAACTATCATCTAGTTTATCCCTTCTGAATCTATCTACCACCCCACCACCAGAGTCTTTTTGTTTGTTTGTTTTCTTCATCTTTGAGAGGGGTTATCACCGAAGCACCACATTTGTTTGGGGAAAGTATTCTTTAATAAAAAAAAAAAAAAAAAAAAAACTTCCTTAGACTGAAATTTACCTCCCAATAACCTTCACCAATTTGGTTAATTTGGTATCAGTTCTATATTTTAGTCTACACAAATCTTATTTTTCTTATACCTGTGCAACTGCTATATTTTAGGTCAGGTACTATAGATTTGTAGAATGTTCCTGGCAAGGCAACTCTATTTACCTCAAGTATCTTAATTCATGTTTGCAACTCCCTGATAACCTAGGACATAGGAATTGAATATTTGCTGATTTCTTCACTCTTCTTCTCGTTCGAGTCTGGTTAGACATATCCCCCATACAATGAAATGCTTGTAACTCAACAAAATCTCCCAAGTGTTGACTGCATTCTGGAGATTTTCATCCCTTAGATGTGAAATCCTCATGAGTTGTGGGTTCTTTAACTTAAGTGAGGGCCCTGAAGTATAGAACGTTACATTATGTTCATTAAATTTCATTTTCTAAGATTTCACTCCTCATACCAGACTTTGAATACTTTCTGGGTAAGGTATCTTTCTTCCAACTCAAGTTACCTCAACTGGCCATGGGACCGTAGAAACGAAGGTGACCTCAAATGTCCCATTGATAGGTCAACTCTAACCTGAGGGAACGGAAGTTATCTCCTAATTTCGTTACTAAATAAAACGGTCATATACGTGTTACCCGTAAGTCTGTATTTATTTCCCACACACTCCCACCCACAAGCTGAGGGTACTACCCAGCCTATAGCTGGGGCTGCCTCTAACAAGGTGCCTTAGATAACGACGACTTATCCCGCTTTAAAGTAAGTACGCTACAAACAGCGATGAGCAGACAGGAGATGAAAGAGACTGGCCTGCTCCCAACTCAGCTCCTCTCTGCAAAAACCTGGTTATCTAGCCACGGAAGGACACCGGAAACAACTCCGAGGACAAAGACCCTGGGCAGTCATGCACCGGGAGGCAGCATCACTTGCGTTCCCGAGGCGGCTACGCCGGCGCGCGCAAACCTTTCTCTCCGCGCGGGGGTCACGGGGTCACGTGCCAGGCGCCGAGCTTCGCCCCGCCCCTTGGCCCTAGGATTTTTACACCTCCTTTCCCCGCTCAGCGAGCGTGCAAGGATGGGGACTGGCTGATGGGGGAGGATTACCTGTGAGTCTCGCGAACCCAGTAATACTTTCGGGGACTGGGAGCCGCTTCAGATACGCGGGGAGCTGCACCTTCAAGATGCGGGCCACGCTCTCCAGCACCATCCTGGCCAGCAGTGTCCGCTCGTCTCCTGAGCCCCCTCCGCTCTGGTCAAGCCGCAGCGCCTGCGCCGAGAGCGGAAACGGCCAGCGGGCACTGGCGGCCTTGGCCTGGGCGGCGGGCGGGGCGGCGGGCGTGTGTGGAGAGGTGACCTGCCGGGCGCCGATTGGCGGCGGACGAGTGACGTACACGGGAACGGGCGGGTAGCGAGGCCCTCCTCGTAATCTGTTGTGAAGGTGGCCCTCCTTTTGGGCCTTTAAAGTCTGTAGATGCTGGAGGGCAGCAGAAAAAAGATACTGTGTGAGATGAGATAAGCACGTGAGAGTGCTTTCTAACCGGAAAGTGCCTTTCAAAAGTGAGTCCCTCTTACTGTCTGTACTTCGTCCCCTGTCGCCACATCTCTTCCCCTACAGTTAGGTGCTGGGGCCCTAGGGTTGCGTAGTCACCCGCGAGTATCCTCCTCCCCCTACCCACATCGCAGTGCCTAATTTTACTCCTTCACCCCAAAGCCCAAGCTTAACAAAATAAAAATTAAAATATTTTAACTAAACCAGGAACTGCTTACAGCTCTGCCCCTTGGCAACTTAACTGCAGCCCTGTCTCCAAAAACCTTCTCTAGTTTTTGCCACTCAGAGAAGATTCATAGTAGCCCTTCCTTAGATATTTTCAGTTCCTTCCAAAGATCAGTTCTTAAGGTTAAAACCCTTAGGGAAAGTGGTAAAAGAATCTAAAGCCTTACGGTTTTCTTATGTTGCAAGCTTCTGCTAAAGTCTAGAGCAGGGGGTCCAATCTTATGGCTTCCCTGGGTCACACTGGAAGAAGAATTGTCTTGGACCACACGTAAAATACACTAACACTAACGATAGCTAATTAGCTAAAAAAATAAAAAAGAAAAAACTCATACTGTTTTAAGAAAGTTAACAAATGTGTATCGAGTGGCATTCAAAGCCATCCTGTTGGGCAAACTTGATCTAAAATATTCTTGAAGGTTTTAATTTTTTTTAATTTTTAATTTTTTTTTTCATACAAGGCTCTATTGCCCAGGCTGTAGTGCAGTGGTGAGATCATAACTCATTGCAGCCTCTAACTCCCAGGCTTTAGGGATCCCCCTGCCTCAGCTTCCCTAGTAGCTGGGACTACAGGTGTGTGATACCATGCCCAACTAATTAAAAAAAATTTTTCTGTGTGTAGATGGGGTCCCATTATATCGCCCAGGCTGGATCGTTGTTTTTATTAATATCTCTAAAAGATTTGAAAGATGAGAGGAGAAAATTTCAGTCCCTTGAAATACTTTTCTTGCTATGACTTTGTTTCATATTTTGGCTGAAGTCAAAATGTCCAAAGTCAAGCACTTGCTGATTGGATAACGTGTGATATCTTAATAACGTTTCTCATTATTTACAGTTCTCCACTTAACCAACAACATATAATAATTAACTGCTTATGGTCCAGTATTTCATTTTGTATGACAGTGTAACAGCCAGTTATAGTAAATAGTTTTTATTTTTCCCCTTGGTATTTTTATTTTAAAGTGAGAAAAGGAAGGAATTCTTTAAAGCAATCTTTCATTGTCTGGACTGCATAAATTTAGTGTTTGTGATTGTCCTTCATTAAAAAAGAGTAACTATCAGTAAGAGAGTTGACGGAAATCTAGATTGAATAATTTTCTATCATTATAACCTGTTCAAAATTGTTAAAGTAAAATTTACAATGGAAATTCTACAAAGATGTTTAAATACAGGTTCATGTTTTTGAGTTAGGTCAATACAGAAGATGATATATACAAAGTAATGATTAAAAGATTGATGTTTAAGATTTCCTTTACAGAGCTTTAAGTTTGGGGGTAAACCCTGGAGCTTTTTTATCCTGAAGATGATGAAACATGAATAGCCTTATCCTCTGGACTATTCTGTTAGCTGTTATCTTTAATTTTTGTGGATCTAGTGTAGAAGCACCCTTGGATACAACTAGGTACCCTCGTTAAGGTAGGGGTAGGTTGGAAGTGGGGTACATTAGGGGAAGAAAAGCTTGGAAAAGGCCATTATGTATTCGTTTCTTCTCTTAGAGGATCTGTCATCTTGACAAGGGCAAGATGTGCTGGGTTGAGTTCATTTTTCCCCTTAGTATTTTATAGTAAGAAAAGGAAAGAATTTTTTTAAAGCAACTTTTCATTCTCTAGACTGTATAAATTTAGTGTTTGTGATTGTTGTGTCTTAAGAACTGGTTCCTTAAGACCTCTACGCAGTTTTTCTTTAAAGAATTAAAAAATACATATCTCAGTTTAAAGATATAGTGAAATGCTTAAGTGCCAAATGTACAGTTCCAGGTAACCGCCAACCACATCAATATATAGAATGTTCAACAGAGGGCTTTTTAAAAAGCGCCCCTTCTAACCCTATCCACCACCATTACTGCTATTCCATATTGCTGTGCATGTTTTTGACCCTGATATATACCTAATTATACAGTATGTAATTGTTTATGGCTGGCTTCCTTCCTCTTAGCAGTTTATGTGAAATAGCTGGTTTGCTATTTTCAAGTAGAAAAAATATAGTGAATGCAAGTCTATACGGATAAAACTTTTTTGAGAGGCCTTGAAATTCAGAGAAGAGGTGTGGATCATGCATTAGCTATTCTCATCCATTATATGAGTTATGCTAATGTATAAAAGGAGATAATTCCTAACCCCACCAATTTAAAAATCCCTATTATCCATTTATAAGGAATATTTTCTTAAATTCCTTTACTTTAAAATTTAAATCCTGTTTTCATTCATATTTTTACATTTGTATTTCATTTCCACAACCCTGCCTTCTTGGCTGTATATGCAACATGATCTAAAGATAATATTGCTCTAAATAGAAATAACAGGCTTATCTGACCACCTTATGATATAGTGTTTTTTGACTCCATGTTTAAAAAACATAAAGAAACTGTGGCCAGAAAAGTCAAGATAAAGTAAATATGTAAATACAGTTAAAGGAGTCTTTTTTTTACTTTCAAGCACTTGAGTGAGGATCAATAATCGTCTGCCTGTGTAGGTTTTGTGTCCTAGCTAGGCTCAAGACTTATTTCTTTTATGCTTTTTTCCCATTAGTTCATCTAGTGCCCCAAATTCAAATATGATCATTAAGTTGATACAGCCCAAATCTCTATTTTCAGCCCAGATTTATTTGAGCTAATCTCAATTCTAGGAGGCTAATTCCAAGTGCCTACTAGACTTCTCTTGACATCTTTGCCCACTGTGCTATTAGTGTGTTCATCAGTTTCACTAGTACATGTTTTCTGGAAAATACTATCCTGTTGGTTACATAGGTGTGATCTCGGCTCACTGCAACCTCCGCCTCCCAGGTTAGAGCCATTCTCCTGCCTCAGCCTCCCAAGGAGCTGGGACTACAGATGTCTACCACCATGTCCTGCTAATTTTTGTAGTTTTAGTAGAGACAGGATTTCACCATATTAGCCAGGCTGGTCTGGTCTTGAACTCCTGAACTTGTGATCCACCCGCCTGAGCCTCCCAAAGTGCTGGGATTAGAGACATAAGCTGTCACACCTGGCCATGTATGTCTTTTTTTATACTGAAATTTGGTTTAGGTGTAGTGAAGTGTATTCGTCCTTTTTTTCTTTTTTCTTTTCTTTCCTTTCCTTTTTTTTTTTTTTGAGGCAGAGTCTTGATCTGTTTCCCAGGCTAGAGTGCAGTGGTGCAATCTCGGCTCACTGCAACCTCTGCCTCCTGAGTTCAAGCAATTTTCCTGCCTTAGCTTCCTGAGTAGCTGGGACTACAGGCGTGTGCCACCATGCCCAGCTAATTTTTTGTATTTTTAGTAGAGACGGGGTTTCATCGTGTTAGCCAGGATGGTCTAGATCTCCTGACCTTATGATCCACCTGCCTCAGCCTCTCAAAGTGCTGGGATTACAGGCGTCAGCCACTGCGCCCAGCTCGTCTTTTTCTTTATAATTCGTGTCCTGGGAGTCTTCTTTAAGAAATCTTTTTCTACCCCTAAATCACAAAGGTATTCATCTGTGTTTTTGCTAAAAGTTTTTAAACTTATATTCTTCATATTAGGGCTTTACTCAACCCAATATTTATTTTCGGTGCATGAGGAAGGGATCTATTCTTATGGGTTACTATTTTGTATACAAACAACTAATTGTTCTAGCACCATTTATTGAAGAGTTAAACTTTTTGTGTGTGTGGTTTGTCATGTCACTTATCCCAAATCAGTTTTCCACACATCTCTGGGTTGCTTACTCTCTTCCATTTCTGTACTTCGATAACAATACCATACTGTCATAATTGCTGCAACTATATAAGTGTTAATATCTAGCAAGATAAGCTTCCCCACCTGTTTTCTTCAAATTGCATTGAGAATGCCTGGCCCTTTACTACTCTGTGAATTTCAGGGTCATCTTGTCAATTCATATGAAAAAACTTTTTATTGAAAATAAATTAGGGCCTCAGTTTTCTCCTCTGTGATATGGTGATAACAGTGGTTATGACTAGATACAATTAACTTTGTAATGTACTCAATGAATGATGGTTATCATTATCATCTTTACCATCAGTGAATGACCCTTTACTCTGGCTTTGAGACCTTAAATTCAGAAATTTTATCTCTGACCACCACCTCAACTAAACATTCTTTGACTTAGTGGTGAAACCCTCTCTTTTTCTACTCTAGTCAGCCCATTCCTGGATTTATTTATTTTTCTCATTCCTCACAGAAGTTGTTCAAATCTTCACTATTCTACATTAATAATTATGTCTTCTATTAACGCTACTAGGCTTATTTTAGGCGCAGATGACCTTGATTTTTAGTTACCAGAGAAGCATTTTTTTACTATCATCTCTACTTGGTCATAATCCCTCCTATACTTAGCTTTTGTTCTATTCTCCAAATCTAACTGCTCCCTGTATTCTAGAGCTGGATTCTTCTAAGAACTTGCTTCATCAATTACCTCTCAAATTTTCATTTTTTTTAACTCTTTACTGGCCCTATAAATTGATGATTTCCAGACTTTTAGATTTCATCAGCCAGTAGATTTTTAAATTGGGAAGTCAAGGTAGGTTTGCCAATTTTTTATTTGGCCAAAAAAAGGGCATTTAATAACTCTAACAAAACACTAC